GCTGTGTTGGAGGGGGGGGCTGTGGTGGAGGGCTGTGGTGGGGGGCTGTGGTGGAGGGCTGTGGGGGAGGGGCTGTGGGGGAGGGCTGTGTTGGAGGGGGGCTGTGGTGGAGGGCTGTAGGGGAGGGCTGTGGGGGAGGGGCTGTGGGGGAGGGGCTGTGGGGGAGGGCTGTGTTGGGGGAGGGCTGTGTTGGAGGGGGGGGCTGTGGTGGAGGGCTGTGGAGGAGGGCTGTGGTGGAGGGCTGTGGGGGAGGGCTGTGTTGGGGGAGGGCTGTGTTGGAGGGGGGGGCTGTGGTGGAGGGCCGTGGTGGAGGGGCTGTGGTGGAGGGGCTGTGGGGGAGGGGTGTGTTGGGGGAGAGCTGTGTTGGAGGGGGGGGCTGTGGTGGAGGGCTGTGTTGGGGGAGGGCTGTGTTGGGGGAGGGCTGTGTTGGAGGGGGGCTGTGGTGGAGGGGCTGTGGTGGGGGGGGGGGCTGTTGTGGAGGGCTGTGGTGGATTGGCTGTGGTGGAGGGGCTGTGGTGGTGGGGGGGGCTGTGGCGGGGGGCTGTGGTGGGGGGGGGGCTGTGGTGGGGGGGGCTGTGGTGGGGGGGGCTGTGGTGGGGGGGGGCTGTGGTGGGGGGGTGGCTGTGGGTGGGGGGGGGGGGGGTGGCTGTGGTGGGGGGGGGTGGCTGTGGTGGGGGGGGGTGGTGGGGGGGGGGCTGTGGTGGGGGGGCTGTGGTGGGGGGGGGGGGGGGCTAGTGGTGGGGGGGGCTGGGGTGGGGGGGGGGGGGGGGGGGGGGGGGGCTGTGGTGGGGGGGGGGGGCTGTGGTGGGGGGAGGGCTGTGTTGGAGGGCTGTGTTGGAGGGCTGTGTTTGAGGGCTGTGGTGGAGGGCTGTGGTGGAGGGCTGTGGGGGAGAGCCGTGGTGAAGGGCTGTGGGGGGAGAGCCGTGGTGAAGGGCTGTGGGGGAGAGCCGTGGTGAAGGGCTGTGGGGGAGAGCCGTGGTGGAGGGCTGTGGGGGAGAGGGCTCACTGTCTCATGCCTCACAGATCTCTAACCCTGTCCATAGGGTTCGAACCTGCGCACATGCTGGTGAGCATCATATACACGTATGGCCACGTCGGTGGTTGAAACTACAACACAATAAATCTACCACCAGTACCATCCACCACAATTACCACCACCACAACCACATCTCAGCCCTCAAGCAACTAACCACCCCCTCCCCCCCTCTGGCCACAACATTACTGTAATATCAGTAACTCCAAATTGAGGAAAACTTGCAGTAGAGAACCCATCAGGCCGAGTCAAACGACCATCCCCAAGCGGTTACGTCATTCTAGCTGCAGCATTGTAATATCTGAAGCAGGAGATAACTACCCACTAAAGCCAGAGTTTCATCTTGAACACTACGCGAGTCGTTCCCCGCCGACACGCCTGCACAGATTCACCTCATTGTTGCACAGTGCACTAGCACCGTTATTATACGGGCGGGTGGACTGCATGTTTCTTGGCTGCCAGAAGCCCGTAGGTACAGTACCCCAGAGGACGTAAATACGCAAGATAGAGCAAGAAGCCGGCGTAACAGTGCGAGCTTAAGTAACAGGAGGCGAGATGTAACACTGTGACAAGACGTTACCAGCAGTCACATACGGCAAGGGGGGGTGGCAGTATTTGGATTCGTCCTGTTCCTTGTATATGTGGCTGATCTACTTACCTATGGTTGGTGATGACACTACGTAACACGTAAGTGTTAACCCCATACAAGGTTACCATCCGACCAGAAGGTTAGTGTATTCCCCCCCCCCGGGCGACTATCCTCCCCTCCTCCTACCCTCCACACCACACACCCGAGAACAATGGCGCATAATTATCCCGTAGACCAATCTGGCTATCCCACTCCTATGACTGAGGCAGCGAGCTAGCAAGCTAGCGAACAAGCACGTGAGCGAGCAAGCTAATGTGGGATGTTGCTGGTGTGGAGGTGGTGTGGGGCTGGTGTGGAGGTGGTGTGGGGGTGGTGTGGAGGTGGTGTGGAGGTGGTGTGGAGGTGGTGTGGAGGTGGTGTGGAGGTGGTGTGGGGCTGGTGTGGGGCTGGTGTGGAGGTGGTGTGGGGCTGGTGTGGAGGTGGTGTGGGGGTGGTGTGGAGGTGGTGTGGAGGTGGTGTGGAGGTGGTGTGGAGGTGGTGTGGGGGTGGTGTGGAGGTGGTGTGGGGCTGGTGTGGAGGTGGTGTGGGGGTGGTGTGGAGGTGGTGTGGAGGTGGTGTGGAGGTGGTGTGGGGCTGGTGTGGGGCTGGTGTGGGGCTGGTGTGGGGCTGGTGTGGGGCTGGAGTGGAGGTGGTGTGGGGCTGGTGTGGAGGTGGTGTGGAGGTGGTGTGGAGGTGGTGTGGGGCTGGTGTGGGGCTGGTGTGGGGCTGGTGTGGGGCTGGTGTGGAGGTGGTGTGGGGCTGGTGTGGAGGTGGTGTGGAGGTGGTGTGGGGCTGGTGTGGAGGTGGTGTGGAGGTGGTGTGGGGCTGGTGTGGGGCTGGTGTGGAGGTGGTGTGGGGGTGGTGTGGGGCTGGTGTGGGGCTGGTGTGGGGCTGGTGTGGAGGTGGTGTGGAGGTGGTGTGGGGCTGGTGTGGGGCTGGTGTGGAGGTGGTGTGGGGCTGGTGTGGGGCTGGTGTGGAGGTGATGTGGGGCTGGTGTGGAGGTGGTGTGGAGGTGGTGTGGGGCTGGTGTGGGGCTGGTGTGGAGGTGGTGTGGGGCTCCTTGCCTAACAGTGGTAACTGGGGAGTGAGGTTTAGCTCTTTCTGCGCCGCGTACCAGTCTTGTTGTACCTGTTGCGTTACAACCTAACTATCATGACGCTCAAATTCAGTATCAAATCTGGCCTTAAAGTTGTGGCTGGAGGTGGCTTCCACAACATCCTTCAGAGCCTTCCACCTTGACTGGGTACGAGTATTTCCTTACATTACTTGGGCTCGTTTCCATGTCCAGCTTCCACCTGTGTCCTCTAGCCTACTTTCTCTTAGTTTGAAGAGGCTATTCTTGTCCACTTTATCTATTCCCTCTCAGTATCTTGTATGTTGTGATCATATCCCCTGTGTTCCTTCCATCTTCTAGGGTAATGAGATTTAGCCCCATCAACCTATTTTCGTGGGTTAACCCTCATACCTCTGGCACCAATCTTGTTAGAAACTTCTGTACTTATTCATGTTAGGCTTCATGCTTCACTAGGTGTGGATACCGTGCCGGTGCTGCATATTTCAGTATTGGTCTAGCAAATATTATATAATTTTCTTGAAGGCGTCCTGAATTAGGTTTCTAAATGTTCTTTTTTTCAGCCAGCGTCCCATATGCTGCTGATGTTATCTTGTTTGTGCGTGTCTCCGGTGTTAGTGTTGGAGCTGCATCCACTCCCAGCAAGATATCTCTAATTGCTGTAGTTGCCCTCCCCCGAGATCATAGGTTCCTCTCTCCCTGTTTCATCTTCATAACCTTACACTTGTTGGAATTGAATTCTAGCAACCATTTGTTTTACCAATTCTAGAGTTTGTCATGATCCTTCTGTAACTGCCAACCGTCTTCCTCTGTTTTTATGTTCTTCGTCGACTTTGCATCATCTGTAAACACTGACATAGACGAGATCACTCCCTCGGGAAGGTCGTTCCCACACACAACATTAGCAACAGCAGCGGTGCCGGCACCGAGCCTTGTGGGGCCCCACTTGTTACATCCTCCAGCCTGAAAACTGACTGACTCAGCTTTCAGTCCTTCAGGTACTCCCTTACCCAGTTCAGTGTTTTCCCCGCCTGTAGCTCCCTCTTGTACACCAGTTTTTCACGAAGAGTGTGAATGCTGTTGGGATGGTGGTGGGCGGGGGTGTGGTGTGGGCGGGGGTGTGGTGTGGGCGGGGGTGAGATGGTGGGCGGGGGTGAGATGGTGGGCGGGGGTGAGATGGTGGGCGGGGGGGGGGGGGGGAGGAAGAACTATCCTCTACATGGAAGAAATTAAACTTTCTCCGCAGCTCTCATATTATCCATTATCGTCTATAACATTTTTAATCAAGTATAAAGTAACATGGTCGTCTGGGGCTGAGGGTGGGGATGTGGGCGAGGTGTGGGTGGGGGTGTGGGGTGAGGATGTGGGTGGAGGTGGGGGTGTGGGTGGGGTTGAGAATGTGGGTGTGGGTGGGGGTGGAGGTGTGTGTGCGGTTGAGGATGTGGGAGGGGGTGGAGTGGGGCGTGGAGTGGGGGGTGGGGGTTGGGGCATGGGTGGGGTGTGTTGGTGGGGGTAGGGGCATGGGTGGGGGTGGGGGTGTAGGTGGGGTGGGGGTATTTTTGGGAATAAGGGTGTGGCTAATGTTGGAGGTGTGGCTGGAGTTGTGGGGAGCGGCTTGCGGCTCGGGATTTGACTGTGCTCTTGGCTTAGAACTTCGAGGATGGACCGAAGGCAATTAACTTAATACCACTTAAAGCAGCCCATCCTCTAAACAAAGACCCAAAAGTCCATTCCATGCACCCGCCAAACCCACTGTTTATGAATGAAAAACAGTTTACACACGACTCACAACTGATGACGTTCGAAAACTTCCGGAACAAGTGCTTCACTGACGAATTTTGTTCGAACCACAACGCTGTAAACGCTTCACCCACGTACTACAAATACAAATAATCGCCAACAGAACCTAAACACCTAACCTTACCTATGCCTATATATGCACAATGTCCTAATATATTATAATATTAATTTATATTTGAGACAATTCCTGTTTGGAATGAACAGCATTTTAAAAATTATGAATGCGTCTTTGGGGTCGACCGCTGGATGGAATGGACTTAAGGATGGGTGACTTAAAAAGAGAGACTCAAGGTCCAAACATCCCGTAATACTTAAGGCTTTCGATATAGTAGACAATGCTTAAATTGAGCAGCAACAAAAAAAAAGATGAAAATGTGATACAACGCATAATTTATCAGGTATAAGGTTAGTAATTGGGATGACTTAGTAAGGTAGACAGTATAGGGGCTACATCTAGTAGATGTTTGATGAACTACGACACAGACCTAATAGGTCTGGATTCACGACCCACAGACACAGGACTCACCGACACCGGACCCACAGACACCGGACCCACCGACACCGGACCCACCGACACCGGACCCACAGACACCGGACCCACAGACACCGGACCCACCGACACCGGACCCACAGACACCGGACCCACCGACACCGGACCCACAGACACCGGACCCACAGACACCGGACCCACAGACACCGGACCCACAGGCACCGGACCCACAGACACCGGACCCACAGACACCGGACCCACAGACACCGGACCCACAGACACCGGACCCACCGACACCGGACCCACCGACACCGGACCCACCGACACCGGACCCACAGACACCGGACCCACCGACACCGGACCCACCGACACCGGACCCACCGACACCGGACCCACAGACACCGGACCCACAGACACCGGACCCACCGACACCGGACCCACCGACACCGGACCCACCGACACCGGACCCACCGACACCGGACCCACCGACACCGGACCCACCGACACCGGACCCACCGACACCGGACCCACAGACACAGGACCCACAGACACAGGACCCACAGACACAGGACCCACAGACACAGGACCCACAGACACAGGACCCACAGACACAGGACCCACAGACACAGGACCCACAGACACAGGACCCACAGCAGCTGCAAAAAACAGAATCCAAGAGCTATCCAGAATCAACGCACATTCACACCATAAAATTTACTGATGCTTGCTATTTATATTTGTAAAAGGTAATATATATCTGTCCGTCTCTCCGTGTGTATTTTATATATGTATATATAATATATTATATATATATATATATATATATATATATATATATATATATATATATATATATATATATATATATAATGTCGTACCTAGTAGCCAGAACGCACTTCTCAGCCTACTATGCAAGGCCCGATTTGCCTAATAAGCCAAGTTTTCCTGAATTAATATATTTTCTCTAATTGTTTTCTTATGAAATGATAAAGCTACCCATTTCATTATGTATGAGGTCAATTATTTTTTATTGTAGTTAAAATTAACGTAGATATATGACCGAACCTAACCAACCCTACCTAACCTAACCTATCTTTATAGGTTAGGTTAGGTTAGGTAGCCGAAAAAGTTAGGTTAGGTTAGGTAGGTTAGGTCGTCGAAAAACAATTAATTCATGAAAACTTGGCTTATTGGGCAAATCGGGCCTTGCATAGTAGGCTGAGAAGTGCGTTCTGGCTACTAGGTACGACATATATATATATATATATATATATATATATATATATATATATATATATATATATATTATATATATATATATATATAAAACTGAACTCACACCCAGAAGTGACTCGAACCCATACTGCCAGGAGCAACGCAACTGGTATGTACAGGACGCCTTAATCCACTCGACCATCACGACCGCACAAAGGTGGTGATAATTGAAGCTATTTGAACCACCCCCGCCAGCACTCGGATGGTAATCTTGGGCATAGTATTTTATCAAATCACCTCATTCTTTGGGGCACACGTGAGGTACTTTGTGTGCACACTTTGGGGCACATGTTGTCCTGTACATACCAGTTGCGTTGCTCCTGGTAGTATGGGTTCGAGTCACTTCTGGGGTGTGAGTTTTCAGTTGTATATAGTCCTGGGGACCATTCAGGCTTGATCACATATAATATTAATTATATATATTATATATATATATATATATATATATATATATATATATATATATATAATATATATATATAATATATATATATATATATATAATATATATATATATATTATATATATATATATATATAATATATATATATATATATATATAATATATATATATATATATCATATAATATATATATATATATATATATATATATATAATATATATATATAATATATATATATATATATATATATATATATATATATATATATATATATATATGTGTATATCACGAAAATAAACACGTGATTAAGAATGTGACAATGTCAGACACGGAGGAAAATGAAACAGGAATTTCCTTAAGTACTTTCGTATATTAAATACATCTTCAGAAGGAATGATTTTACAGATCAAGTGATGGTATAAATAGGCAGGAGAGAGTGGTGAAGTAAGGTGAGGTACAATACTTGGACAACGCAGACGGCCCATTGGCCCATCAGATGCACCCAATTGGCCCATCCGATGTAGCCCAATGGCCCATCTGATACAGCAGACATACAAGCACAATACATAGGTAATTATAACATAGAGGTAAATATATACAATAAATTAGTGAGACAAATGTTTTTCAATGATCCTACTTAAATCGCCCTTTAGCTGATCTATTAGAAATGGATCTAAGTTATATAGACCACTGCTAATATTCAAATTACTTTCTTTGGTGATCTGTATCAAAGCAGATTCAATTATGTTTCTGTTATAGGTGCTTTTACAATTTGTTATTGAAGAAGCACTCTCCCAATCAATTTGGTAAAATACTATGTTTCATTTTCCTCCGTGGTCTGACATTGTCATATATATATATATATATATATATATATATATATATATTATATATATATATATATATATATATATATTATATAATATATATAATATATATATATATATATATATATATATATATATATATATATATATATATATATATAGTGTGGCGATCCAGAGGGGAAATGCTTGCTGCGTCCTCGGTTCCTGTCCAGAAGCGGAGGAGCTTCAAGAGATCCATAACCTTTAGGCATTTGTCTTGTATGTTTTGTAACCTTTAAATACACAATAAAGGAAAAAAAAAGGGAAGGGGGTGGTAGGAGAAAAGCACACAGAAACTGTATTGGAGGGGACCCACATTCCCTCCAATGTGTTATGTGTGGTTTCCTCCGAGGCTATGGGTCCCCCTTCTTCCAGCCAGAGGTGGTACTCCCTTCCCTATTATATATATATATATTATATATATATATATATATATATATATATATATATATATATATATATATATATAATATATATATATATATATATATATAATATATATATATATATATATATATATATATATATATATATATATATATATATAATATATCTATATATATATATTATATATATATAGATAATATATATATAAATAATATATATATATATATTGAGGTTGAAAGAGGGAAGAGGGGCTGGGTATGGAGGACTGGTGGGTGGGGAGAGGGGCAAAGAAGAGGCGGTGGGGAGAGAGAGTGCGACTCCCGGGCACCGCCGGTAACCTCTTCCAGTACTGAATACAGGAAACTATTAAGAAAACTTGAGACGTTCCACTCAACCGGCCATCTGTGGACGGAAGGACCGCCGAGGCTGTGAGGAAGCAACACAATGAACTAATTAGAGCGGAAGCAATTAGTGAGCGTCGCACAGTTATCAAAACAGCATCTCCTGGCCCGGGGCAGGGGGGGGGGGTGTGTAGGCCTCCCGCCGGGGCCGACCACGACAATTGTCTCCCGACCTGATGACAAAACGGCCGTCGTCGGCCCCGTTTAAGCGTGTGTGAATTAATGACAGGAACTGGTTGAGACCTACAGTTTAATTTAGATGAATAATGATGATCGAGTCTAACCACAAGGGGTGGAGGGAAGGGGGGGGACTAGAGGTATTTAGCCTAGGTCTACTGGTTGCAATTTCACGGGTAATGCTCCACTAGGCCGCTCCACAAGTCCTCCTCAATGGCCGACTCGTATAAGGAAAACAGAATTAAGAAAACTGTTACGCACAGTAACGCAGGAGATTTGTTACCAATTGTTTCACAGCTTCATCCTGTTGTCACACACCTGACTGTTACAGGCAGGTGTGTGGGTCCGTGGGCGGTGAACCACTGAGGGATGAGGGGGGGAGGAGGAATTCTCTCAGATCTGATAATGTTGAGCCCATCATGGTTCAGTCGGTAGTGCATGTGTCGGTGGAGTCTAGGCATCAAGGTTCGATTCCATTTTAAGTGTCAATATTTTTTTTCCTATATACCTCATGTACTCTCATGTATATAAAAGTTACAAAATTGACGAAAAGCTTTAACGTTAATATATAATATTTAACTAATACTATAAACAAAATAATAATAATAAGAGTATTTATTGCCTGTCTGTATTTACTAATTAAACCACCACCATCCTTGCCACAACCACCACCATCCTTTCCACCACCACCAACCTTACCACCACCAACCTTACCACCACCAACCTTACCACCACCACCAACCTTACCACCACCACCAACCTTACCACCACCACCGCCACCACCAACCTTACCACCACCACCACCACCAACCTTACCACCACCACCACCACCAACCTTACCACCACCACCACCAACCTTACCACCACCACCACCACCCTTACCACCACCACCACCAACCTTACCACCACCACCACCAACCTTACCACCACCACCACCATCCTTGCCACCACCACCAACCTTACCACCACCACCACCAACCTTACCAACCTTACCACCACCACTACCAACCTTACCACCATCACCAACCTTACCAACCTTACCACCACCACCACCAACCTTACCACCACCACCACCATCCTTGCCACCACCACCAACCTTACCACCACTACCACCAACCTTACCACCACCACCACCAACCTTACCAACCTTACCACCACCACCACCAACCTTACCACCACCACCACCAACCTTACCACCACCACCAACCTTACCACCACCACTACCAACCTTACCACCATCACCAACCTTACCACCATCACCAACCTTACCAACCTTACCACCACCACTACCAACCTTACCACCACCACCAACCTTACCACCACCACCAACCTTACCACCACCACCAACCTTACCCCCACCACCATCCCTACCACCACCACCATCCCTACCACCACCACCATCCCTACCACCACCACCAACCTTACCACCATCACCAACCTTACCACCATCACCAACCTTACCACCACCAACCTTACCACCACCAACCTTACCACCATCACCAACCTTACCACCACCAACCTTACCACCACCACCAACCTTACCACCACCACCAACCTTACCACCACCACCAACCTTACCACCACCACCATCCCTACCACCACCACCATCCCTACCACCACCAACCTTACCACCATCACCAACCTTACCACCACCAACCTTACCACCATCACCAACCATACCACCATCACCAACCTTACCACCAACCTTACCACCACCACCAACCTTACCACCACCACCATCCCTACCACCACCACCATCCCTACCACCACCAACCTTACCACCATCACCAACCTTACCACCACCAACCTTACCACCATCACCAACCTTACCACCACCAACCTTACCACCACCACCAACCTTACCACCACCAACCTTACCACCACCACCATCCCTACCACCACCACCATCCCTACCACCACCACCATCCCTACCATCACCAACCTTACCACCATCACCAACTTTACCACCAACCTTACCACCACCACCAACCTTACCACCACCACCAACCTTACCACCACCAACCCTACCACCACCGCATGATACAAAAGATTTAAAATAAATAATTGCATATCCATTGGCAGTGTTTGGGCATCTCAACAAATCTGATCATTGTACAAATTATATATATATATATATATATATATATATATATATATATATATATATATATATATATATATATAATTTGAACTATGAAGGATACTGTACTG